GTAGTAGTAGTAGTATGGTTCAGGTTCAGCATCTCTCTTCTCTTCTCCTCGTTTGTAGTAGTAGTAGTATGGTTCAGGTTCAGCATCTCTCTTCTCTTCTCCTCGTTTGTAGTAGTAGTAGTATGGTTCAGGTTCAGCATCTCTCTTCTCTTCTCCTCGTTTGTAGTAGTAGTAGTATGGTTCAGGTTCAGCATCTCTCTTCTCTTCTCCTCGTTTGTAGTAGTAGTAGTATGGTTCAGGTTCAGCATCTCTCTTCTCTTCTCCTCGTTTGTAGTAGTAGTAGTATGGTTCAGCATCTCTTTTCTCTTCTCCTCGTTTCTCTTCTCCTCGCTTGTAGTAGTAGTAGTAGGGTGCGGCATCGGCATCACGTTTGTAGTAGTAGTAGTAGGGTGCGGCATCGGCATCACGTTTGTAGTAGTAGTAATAGGGGTCTGTAACGTTGAAATTTTAAAACAGATTCGACCAAAATAAAATTTACTAAGGTCAAAAACAAAAATACATTACCAGCAACGACAGTCGCGGTGAACGCGACTAAAAGTCCAATAATAGCGTATTTCATTTTTTTTTTTTTTTTATATAATTTTTTATTATTTACTATTTCTTGAAGATATTTCTTCAATGAGTAATTTTGGAATGTGGATTTTGGTGGGTTTTATAGATATTCGATCCTAGGAATTGTCTATGTAAACGTCGTTGAAGAATGTTATTTCTCAACAGTGTTTTATCCCAAAGCCTCGTAATCATTTTCAAAGCCTCTAAATACAACCATCTAAATACAATCTTAACAATGAAAGGAATCTCGAATTGGTCTTGAGCAATTCAATATATATATTTTGTCAAGACATCAAATATTTGTCATTCATCATTGTCATGACATGTAGAAAATATTGTCATTTTAGTAGGAATCTTTTCAACCCTCACCTCACGTTATACACAAATTCTCGTAAGCCTCTTATGTGGCTTCTTATTTTCAAAGTTGAAAATTCAGCAATCAAATAATATTTTTATCCTATTTTTATTCAAATGAAGATTTTCTGGCTTGAATCAACTACAGATTTACCAACAAGAATTCCTCCAAATAAGCCATTTAGAATGTGATAAAATTGTGATCATTTATAAAACAAGAGAACTTATCCCTTAATCTGTAGGCTAATTCCTAGG